TCTGTGGGATAATAAAGACAAGATCATAGCTTGAAAATAGAGCATGCATCTGGTGTGGATTGTTGTTTTGGTTTAATTAGGACTTGCCGTTTCCTGGATTCCTATAATCTCGTTTGATGAATTGTGCTGGTTACTTGCTCAGCAGGCTTTGGACACGTGGCACTGTCAGAGGGAATGACTTAAAAAAATCATTTCCTGGTGCACAGGAAAAAAAGGCAACTGCATTCACTTTCTGTGGCTATCTAGAGAATATCTAGAGAATTACCAATATTACGATAGACAGTTGCTCCTCTGGAAGGAGATGGGCCTGGCTCCAGTGTGCATTGAGTATGTTCGACCCCACACAGCCCAGGGGGCACCTGTGTACGGGCATGGTGGAGATTAAGAGATGAGTGCCACCATCTTATCATCCCAGAGTTTCTCAAGCCGATTCCCAAGGCAGATGCACGGAGGGTAAGGAGGATCACGGCAGGCTGTGATAAGAGCTATAATAGAGGCATCAGCCCCTCACTTGTTCTCAGAGCATCCTTTAAAGAGAACTTCCACATGGAGCGCCTCATTCGGTCCTCAAATGGCCTGTGAGATGGTGCCAGGACCTTCATTTGTAAACTGACAGACAACCAAGGCTCCAATATTTCGCCTGTGTTCCCACAGCTAGAAATCGACACACAGATCTTTAGAATCCCATTTTAAGTTGTTTTTCTACCTTCCAGAATATAATAGGTGAAAAGGAAAGGAATTCCCAAGCAAGAAGAAGTAACTGAGAAAGGCCATCTGTGGAGGTGGGAGAAAGGTGACAGCATGGGTGATGGTCACCTTCCACTGGTACCATCAAGGTTGATGCAGCAGATATAGGTCAAACCATATTAAATACTTCATGAGATTCCAAGGAAAACTATTCTCTCCCTAGGATTACTTAGGTCAGGGATAAATATAACCAGAAACAAATGAGACGGATACAAGGGAACATCTAAACCTAGTCCTGCCGTGAGATACACGTCACTGCTGTGCAGGCCTTGATTTGGGTTTATTTTTATTTTATTGATATATTGATTGGCTGCAGGGAAGGCAGACTTTTTTTAAGTGTGGGGAGATTAAATTGCTCTGAGGAAGTCACTGTCTCACTGAGTTGGGCGCCGAGAGCGAGAACACACTGCCAGGCTGCCCTGCTCCGTGTCCAGGGAGAGCTCAGGGGTGGGCACTTGGAGTGGGCGCTGCTGCCCAGACACCTGCTGGGGTTGCGGAGGGCTCTGAGAGGCGCCGAGCTGTGCTGACTCATCCACCCTGGAACAAGCCCACCACTCGGAAGAGCCAGGACCACAGGACATGGAGGAGATTGTGCCTCTGGGCAGGCAGAGGAGCAGCCACTGGCATTGCCCAGCCTGATGCCTTCCCATCAGGAGAGGGCACACGCAGGAGCCATATGTCCTACATCCTGACCCTGGTCTTGAAATAGAGCAAACAGGTATCGCAAGCACATTGACAGGGAGCAAACACTCTGAACCTGCTACACACCCCCCTCCAAGTCACATGGTCAGGCGGGGCAGAGCCACATTCCAAGCTGCGTCTGTTTGATCTCCCTGATCAGGTGTATTAAAAATGTGGCTATTTGACATTAACTTTTGTCACAGCAGATTAGTTTAATAAAGATATGTTATATCCAAATTCACAAAGTCTGGGGAAGATACCAAGGGTTATGATCAAATTTGGGAAACTGTTTTGCACATGAACATGCATGTATGAGCATGGTGCTGTGGTGGTGGTGGTGGTGGTGGTGGTGTGTGTGTGTGAGAGAGAAGGAGGGGGATGGCACGTAGCAGGGTGTAGTTTAGGAAGGGTCGTGTTTCCTTTCTTAAAGCAGAGATAGTGTATTTATTTGAGTTCTGGTGAGAGACTAAGAGAGAAGTGATAGGAGAGTGGGCACAAAAGGAGCAAAGTTCAAGGTCACGGGGAGGATGACTCTCTGCTCAGGGAGGGGGAGCCCTACAGGGAGGACTGGAAGGGGTCTGGCCACACAGGCTCCTCGCACAGTGCTGGGAGGTCAGCCTATAGCCAGGCTGGCTGCTAGTTTGGTCTTTTATTTGCTATCACAGGTTTTTTTTTTTTCTTTCTTTCTTTCTTTCTTTTGGGCACAGGTTTGTTGAAGTTTGCTTGTTGTGCAGTAACCATATGTATTTAAAATATGTAGTTTGATAAATTTTGATTCATACATGCCCCTCCAAAATCATTGTTGCACCAAGAGAAAAGTGTGGCCACCAGCCATGTGGGTGTCCTCTCCCTTCGCTGGTCCCCCTCCCCTACTCCCCACTGCCCCGGCAAAGGGGAGCATGGGCCACTGGGCCACTATATTTTTTTTTTGCATTTTCTAGACTTTTATATAAATGGAATAATACCGCATGTGCTAGTTTATTGTCTAGCTTCTTTCACTTATCATAATTATTTTCAGATTCATCTGTGTTTTGCAAAATTATTAACAGTTCATTCTTTGGAGCTACTGAATAGTACTCTATTGTGTGGATATGCCACAACTTACTGTCCAGTAGCTAGTTGAAAGACATTTGGGTCATTTCCAGTTGGGCTACTGTTAAATGAAACTACTATGGACACAGTCACAGACAGGTTTTTTTTTGTTTGTTTTTGTTTTTGTTTTTGTTTTTGAGACATGCTTTTATTTCTCTTGGCCAAGTACCCGAGAGTGAAATGACCGGGACATGGTGATATGTGTTTGACTTTTTATGAAGCTCCCAATTTTTCTTCCTCCCTGTCATACCATCCTGTGCTCCCCCAGCTTTGCCCCAGCTCTTCTGTGCCCCTTTGCAAACATGGTGTGGGGCCTCTTTGCGGGGCAGCCTCTCTGCCAGATGTGGTGCTGTTCCCCGCGGCTCTGGTCTGTGATTCCTGACAGGCACTGTTGAACACGCTCTGCGTGCTTATTTGCTATCAGAGGCCTTTTGTGCTAAAATCTTATCCAACTCTTTCTGATGCTTTTTTAAAAAAATTGTGTTTGGGAAGTCCAGAATTCAAGACCATCATCAGATATTTTATTGCAAACGTTTTCCCTAGACCGCGTGGCTCGTCTGCTCATTCTCCCACAGGGTTTTTTCACTTTCATAAGGTCAAATGATCAATTTTCTTACAAATTGTGCTTTTGGTATAATATCTAAGAAATCTTTGACTAATCAGTGGTCACTATAAATCTTCTGTAAGACTCATAGTTTTACATTTAGGTATATATCCACTTTGAGCTAATTTTTCTATATGCAATGTAGATCTAAGCTAGTCTCCTCCCCCTCCCCCCCCCTTTCTCTCTATATTCTATATCAGGCACCCATTGGTGAATAGCTGGCAAAAATTTTTTCTCCTATTCAAAACATTGAAAAGATGATGTTTCAGTTTTCTATTTTATCAGAAGTACAAATGAGAAGATGATCATGAAGCAAGTTGTATTATCATTTTACAAAGTAATTAATTTTAATAAATCAGTGTGATATTAATACATTAAGATCTTGACATATAAAACCTTTAAGAAGAAAATAAGTCAGCTTTATGGGTTTACAAACATTTCCTTCCCCAGAGGCTGTGGATTGAACTCCTGAGATCCTACTGATGTATGAGGACAAACACACCTGGAAACACATTTCCTAAAATGCCTTAATGGCTGGTATTGGTCACAGAGGGCCAGAGCAGGGCTGTCATACTCCAAAGACAGGACCTTCATTCCATCCTGCTACTTTCTGTTTGACCTTGAGAAAGTCACTTAGCATTGAAACCTGAGTTCCTTCACTATAGAATGAGTGAAGCCACATTCATTACTTTTAGGAAAATAACTCTGTTCCTATCTGACTAATTAGCATATTACAAGGATCAGATACCATGGTCCTTGTGAAAAGACTTCCTCAAGTTCAGAGGACTATAAAGTTATTGGATTTTGTTTTTGTCAGAGAAATTAACAACATAGTTTGAAGGGAAAGTCAGAGATCATCAACACCTTGATGGAAACTTGCAGGAAGTAAGTTTGCAAATAACATACTGTGATTTGAGTGGGGGTGAGATAGTAGATGGACCCCAGAATTTCAGATACCCTGGAATAGCAGCTGGTAGGAAAGAACGAGGAGAGGGAATTTTTAAAAATGTCCAAATTTATAACCTGCAACAGCTCTATAATAAAAATAAAATAGGGAAAATTAAATCAGTACTAGAAAGGATCGGGTCCAGCTGCTCCTTTCAGATGGTGACCCATATGAGCCGTTCCACACAGGGGCAGGGCTCTGAATTGCCAATGCTACCGTCACCCATCTCTGGTAAGAGGAGAGGAGTGACACAGGCCAGGAGAAGAGCACTTTCCTTAAGAGGGTTAGTTTATTCCTGCTTCCCAAACTATGATTGGAGGTTGGTTACTATGCAACCCACACACAGAAAAGAGCAATTTTTCTACAATCCGGAGGAAATGGAACCGTTTTCCAGGCTCTCGGTACCATTGCTAGGGGAGACACTGTGCTTACAAGTTTGACCTCTAGTGGATGCATTAGGCATCAAACTGTCATACGCTGAAGGCCTGGAGTTAGGACTCGGACCCCCTTGAATCAGTAACAGCTGTCTGCTGTATACTGAGAGAGCCTTCAGAAGCTATTTGGGAGACAGATTTTTCTGCCATTTGTGCTTAAAACTTTCTGCAAGTCTGTTACAAGATGAGCTCACCCTTCACAAGAGCTGCCAGGCCAGAGTTTCCCTCTGCTCCTCTACAAAGTCAGTGATCATCACTATCCAGCCGATTCCTGGGAAGCATGATGTTCCCCAGTGAGAAGAACCAGGGTCAGGAAAGACCTTTAACCCCTCATTTGTTCCTGGGCATTCTTCTGTTCTCTGTGCCAAATACTATCCCATGCTCTTTGCATACACTCCAGTGACATTCGTTGGCCTCATTCCAAACTCTTGCTATGGTTGCTGTGAAATAGTTCCCTCCGGAACTCACAAAAAAGTAGGTGAGGTGGACATATAACGCAGCATTTTATAATTTTCTGTTTTTATAGCAGTGATCATGCGGAAAGAAATACAGTGTCCCGGAGGAAGGTCCCCTTATCTAGGAAGTAGGGGGCAGGGGAGGTGCCGGGGACAGTCTACTGAAGGTGTCACCTGAGAGCTGAGCCTCAGACATGCACCAGCAGAGTGCAGTGGGGCTGTGAGTGTCCAGGAGGACATTAAGCAGAAGGGGGAGGACAGAACACAGGCACAGAAGCTGTGAGCAGTTCCAGGCGAACAGAAACCACAGTGGGCTGAAGGGCAGAGACCAAGACGACGAGGGACCATGGCTGAGACTGAAGATAGGCTGGGCCAGCAGAAGGCACTTGATGGCGGCCTATGCAGACAGACGGAAGTTCACTGAGGAATTCTGGTGGGGGAGTGAGCGGTAAGACTGAGCTCTGATGTATTTCTCATAGTGCACCTACTCCAGGAGAATGGGGCGGGGGTGTGGGGTTGAAACCGGCTCCGCCAGAAGGTGCTGTTAGAACTCTCCACTCGGCACAGGAGGGGTGCAGCCCGAGTGCGATGACCCACCGCGGAGCTCTCCCTGACGGGGCCCTCGGGGGTGAGTCAGCTCTACCCAGGAAATGCTGCTTCTTCAACCTCCACTGAACTTGAAAAACGTCTGCTTGGTTTTCCTTCTAGGAGCCACGGTTAGCCCATTTCTCACTGCAAGCTAAAGGGCATTGGCAAAGGTCAGACGTCTCTTCCTGCCTCATCTTGGCCACCGACTGGCTGTCAGTCATCAGAACCACCTTCCAGTTCCTCGCCCACAACTGGATTGGAACGGATGGTCTTAGTTCTGTTCAAACAGGAAACGTCCAGGAAGTCGACACTTATTTTTTAATCTTCAAAGATACAAAAGTACCACTCCATATCTTCCTTCTCAGTGTGAGTAGGAAGAGAAAGTGAACACGTATGACCATTAAACTTCACAGCCTGCAGCATGAACAGTGCATGTAAACACACTCGCGGCGCCTACTAAGCAGCACGGAATGCATTTCTGTGTGTGCTAAACTAACTACCCAGACTGCCCTTATGTGCCAACAGAGTGAGTCAAGTTTAGTTTTCTTAACTTTAATTTTCTAAAAGTCTTCTTTACTTAAATAATTGTCTGATTGGATCTGTAATTTTGAAGATGGTGAAAACTGGCTAAAGGCTTTAGTTAAAAAAAAAGATACAAAATTCTCACTGAAATGCTGTTAACATTTAAGCTGTCAATAATGACTGTTTGAAATGTTCTATTGGGTAGAAAGCAAGAGGTCAAAGCTAAAATGACAGTGTGTCCCAGGTACGTGCCTCATGGTTATTATCACAGATTTCACAACGGGCAGTGAGTTGGAATGCCCACTGCTTTGTGAAACCTGGTTGTAATGCCAGGACTGCTGACGGCAATAAAAGGTCAGCTTTCACGTTCAAGTGGAAACAATCCCTGCTCAGGCCTGGGCTGCTCTTCCTCTTGAAGAGATTTGAAGAGTGACTCTATTGCTTGACATAGGAACCCAGCCACGAGTGACAGTTCACACTTAGGGTCTTTCGCTTTGTTCTGGCACAACTTTCTGCCCAGCTTGTCAGATCCACCCCAGTCACTAAAATGGACAAAATAAATAGTACAACAAGATGCCGTCTTGGCCAGGGTGTGATGTCTTGGAGCACGTGCTCCTCTCACAAAGTGGAAGCCCGGATCTCATTCCCCATCCTTGTCCATCTGTCAGTCTACCTGTCCATCAGGACACCCACGGCTGTGTTCTTGGCTGTCCACCCAGGTGACAGCAGTCTTCCTTGAACTGAAGGGATGTAGGAGGCACATTCAGGTGAAACACTTGAGCAATAAGCGGAAGTTCTCTGTGAGGAGCCTGTGATAGGAAACAAGAACTCAGGTGGTCTGCACCCGTGTGCAGGCGGCCCTCAGACTGCCCCTGGCCGGCAGAAGACCAGGGAAATGCCTGCCTAGGAGAGAACCCGCTGGCCGCTGGCTGAGAGCAGGCAAGGGCTGCTTCCAGGAGGGGCAGCTCTCATGCTGCTGGTGGCGGGGAGGGACTTCGGATACTCATGCAAACCTCTGGGGCCTACAAAGCTGGGTATATTCTGAACCTGTCCGGACCTGGTAGGGAGCCTGGCTGTTGGGCCCTTGCATTTCTTTAAAGTGACATGACAACACATCCCTGTCTCCAATCTGAAACTGGCCACTTGGGGTGGTCGCTTTCCAGTTGCTATGACAACAACTGACTGCAGTGGTTTTGTGTTTGGCAGGGCAGGTGGCAGCTTGGAGCTGAGAGCAGGGGCCACTGAGACAGGGGAGCAGCCTGAGAAGCTCCCACAGCACCCACCGCCATGTTTGGGGGTCTCCCAAGTGAGCTGCATTCATCCAGGGACAAAGACATTGACTGGCCTCAGGATGAGATGATCAGGATGCTGTTTACATTGATCTACATCTGGTTTCTGTTTTGTATATTTTGTGAAATATGTAACATTGTTACAATTGTAAAAGTACTATAAATAAATATGTATGTTAAATGGGGGGACAACTTAAAACACTTTTATCACTGGGGTGCATAATCAAGGACATTCCCAGGTCCCGGTGCTGTGCCTCAGGCCAGTGCACGCGTTGTTGGAGGAGGCCTGTCTGTGCCTCACATTCTAAGTTCTGGGGTTTGTCCACGTTTATTGTTATCAATCATCTCTGTGACAGCCCACCTGTATCTAAGGTAACCATAGGCTGTTGTTGTTTCATAGGAGCTAGCTTTTCATAGGTAGATTTAATTTTAAAAATATTATAGAGGAAGGTACAACTTATCTGAGGCTCTTATCTGGTTGGAGTGGCATTAGGAGTTTGCAGGGGAGTGAAGATTGATTAGCTGCTGAAAGCTTCAGTATTTCCTGGGTTACTTTAAAGGGATTTATTTTATCTGTATTTGCTGTAAACATAAAATCAGAAATGAAACATGAGTGTGTGTGTGTGTGTGTGCACGCATATGTGTGTAGTATATAGTATACATCCAGTATATATCTAGTATATATATATAGTGTTGTATATAGTATTTGGTAGTCTAGAGAGCAGGAAAAGAATAAAAACAAAACAAAGCAAAACCACCCAAGCACATAAACATAAATCCCGCATGAATAGGTGCTATTATTTGTAGACGTAAATCTCAAGACATCTATTTTGGAATATTACTAAAATAGAGTAATGTTTCAATGGAATTCATTTCCAATTATCTGCACTCCAATGGTTCTAACACTATGTCCTAGATCCTGATAAACTGCTCCAAAGGCCTCCTTGGCTTACCAGTGTAGACAGTCCTAAAGGTAAACATGTTCTAATCAGTGCCTTTATTTAAAATTGGAAGGGAATGTACAGGAATATGGAGAAAAGCAATGTGATTGTAATAGGGTGATAGAATTATACATATTTTTCCTTTAGCATTTTTTCTTTGAATGTGGTGTCATAAAAGTCTGACCAAATAAAACAGTAAGTAAAATGGAGGCCTTTGAGATACAACCTATAGCTGATGGTCAATATAGAATGTGGATTTATTCCCAGCAGAGAGAAGACACTCCTTACAGTTACGAGGTCACTGTACATACTCCATGAAAACCGAAATCTAAGGTCACTGTATGCGTCACATATGGCTTTGGGGATAAAACCTGATACCAGCCGCTGTGAGAAGCAGCCAGGTTGTCACCATGTCTCTTCAGTGAGCGAGCCAAGCCCGGCCTGTCTGCCAGGAGCTGCTCCCTGTCTGAGGCCAGGACTCTGCCTGGGAGGCTCCGAAAGCTCTCCTAGGACTGTCACTCAGCATCTTGGATGTCAATAGATGCCTCAAACGCAGCATGTCAAAGAGGATGTGCAGTCTGTCCCCTCCCTGCCCCAGAGCCTGCGGTATGCATGGCCTACCTCCTCCGCCTTTCAGCAGAGTGAACCCAAACCTCGGAGCTGCTCATCTCCGCTCCAACACTTGAGTAATTCATGAGGTAGCCGTGAGAACGCCACTGCCAAAACGGGTCCAGACCCTGCCGCCTCCCTCCCCACAAAGCAAGAGTCCCAAGATGAGCCCCACCCCTGTCACCAACGTCTGGAGGCTTTGCCTTCCTTGGCAGAACCTGACTTTTATTTCTGAATTATTACAACTGCTGACTGAACTAAAAATTCAAAACTTCACTGCAATAATCTGTTTTGTAAATTCACTGTATTTGTCAAATAGCTACTGGTTTTGCCACACGGCCATAATCTTCCCTTAATAAACTTGTATAACATGTTGCAGTGTCTTAATTTTAACAATTCCAGTATAGAACTTTTTTGATTTACTAATGTAGTAATGATGCTTATCTTTCTATGTATAGAGGAGTACCCTGCTAATAAGAAAACCACATATATGTGTGTGTGTGTATAAAATCTTATGTACCAAAGAAATACTCCAACTGAAGGGAGAATACTGTTTTAGACAAAAATCCCCTACAGCCAGGTGTGGTGGCACATGCCTGTAATCCCAGCAGCTCCGGGAGGCTGAGACAGGAGGATTGCAAGTTCGAGCCTCAGCAATTTAGCAAGACCCTAAGGAACTTAGCAAGACTCTGTCTCAAAATAAAAAAGAAGGGTTGCGGGTGTGGCTCAGTGGTAAAGCACACTGAGTTCAATTCTCAGTACCAACCAACCAACAAACAAACAATCCCTCGAGCTGTTCTTCTAGAAACATAGCTTCTTTCATGCTACTGATTGAATTTGTGCTTTCCTCTCCGAATACAGAAACAAGACACTCTCGGTGATTCCTCCTTTGGTTCTCCTGGATCATCACCATCTGCCCAAACTCCCATGTTCATGTTTTTCAGTAGATATGAATTCCCTTCCTCCTTCCCAGTACACAGGGTGGCACTAATAGAAGGTTCACCTTTCCCTCCACGGGAGGCTCAGTGTCGTCTTCAGCTCTGTGTTCTCGCTGAGTTTCCTCGATGTTCTCACTTTTCTATGCCAGCAGGAGCAGGCTGGGTTCTTCCCCTTATCCACATGACCAAGAGGCACGCAGGAGCCTTGGAACCGGGCTCTGAGCCTTGGCCCTGACGGTGCGACCTTGCTTTGCTGTGCAGGCATGTGAGGGGAGGGAGTTTTCCCCGATTGTCACCACACAAATTACACAAAACCATTGCCATCCTCAGGTGCCTTGCTGCTCGGGAGAGAGGTACAAATGACGGTCCAAGCCCCAGGTCTGCCAGAGGTTATTGATCGGCCACCATGGAGCCGGTTCAATGTGAGGTACTGTCACAGCTTCTCCAGAACCTGATCCTCTCAAAAACCCTGGAAGGTGATGCCATTCCCTTTACATCCATGAAGACAGGGATGGCCATCAGTCACAGGTGGCAGAATTGGGGCCTGGAGCCAGCTCCTCCAGCCCCAAGCCCAGAGTTCCTGGGCATCCGGTCACGTTCTCACCCACAAGCCGCCACCGCAGGTGGGTCCTCCACGCCTCGGAAGCCACCCAAGCAAAGCTCCCCAGCAGCTTGCTGTTAGGTGCAGTTACTGCAGGTGATGTTATTAGCCAGCAGCCTCAGGGGCCACCTGCATCAGACGGGAGGTCCTCACTGTAAGCCCTGTTTAGCTGGGACCACATCCCTCTTCTTGGTGTCCCGGATGACAGTGAGCATAATCTCACCGTCCCGGTCATCAAAAACACCTGCCCACTTCAGCGCTTGGAGTTGCCAAAAGCTGGCTGATGGTCATTGACAATAGTCATTAAAAGTGGAAATGTGTCAGAACAAGAAGCTCAATAAGGCAGAAGAACACTGTGCCACAGTGCACCAAAGACACACAGTGAATTAGGAGACAATCCAACTATGCAGACGACACAGTGCACACACCAGCCATGTTATTACTACACAAACTATGGGAAGAATCCCTTGATCAACACACCAAGTACCTATCAAGGCCCAGAGGTAATGTCATGAGATATTCGGGTCACAGAATGTGTTTATTGAATTTTGTTATATTTGATTAATTAATTTATTTTCAAAGAGAGAGAGGTAGGGAGATGCCAAAAGGGAGGCGATGTGGGCTTGTCTGGTGCAGTTAAAAACGGGTGGCATATTCTGAGACCAGTAGGCCTTACAAAGAAGGGTCCAGGAAAAAAAAAAACAAGACAAAACAAGCCTGTCTTCACATAATATATATTTACTGTAGTTAGGATGGAGACATTTAATAAAGAAAATGAGTATTTTATATGAGGTGTGTGTGTGTGTGTGTGTATTTTTGTTTTGGTGGTGGTTGTCATCTGTTTGTTTTGGGTACTGGGGATTGAACCCAGGGGTGCTCCACCACTGAGCTACATCCCCTGCCCCTTCCATTTTTTTAATTTTAAGACAGTCTGGCCAATGTGCTGTGGTTGGCTTTGAATTGGCAATCCTCCTGCCTCAGCCTCCCAAGTAGTTGGGATTACAGAGATGCATCTCCACGCCCGGTCTCTGTGTGTGTGTGTGTGTGTGTGTGTGTGTGTGTGTGTGTGTTATAGTCAAGATTATAAGTATTCTGGATGAAAACAGAGTACGGAGGACAACAGTCTGGCACCGCATCTGTCAGCCAGCCAAACATTTAGAAAACTCCTACAGCACCTTCCGAAGCCACCTCTGACGCCTTCTTACCGCCCGTTTTGTCCGGGTCTGCCCCGTGCTGGGTGGTCAGAGGCGGCGCCTGCATGTGGAGACTCGGTTTACAACTCAGGAACCTCCCAGCACAGTCCCTCCTCGGACCCCGACCCCCCAGCACTGAGGAGGTGGCCCCGTGCTCAGGTCTCGGAGTGGGCAGCTGCGCCTCAGCTCTGCCAGCCCCCGGTGCCACCGCACAGCTTGGCGCCTGTGCTCCTGTCACGTCCTACTTCCAACGGGGCTGAACTCAGTGGGAAGAATTATTGAGAAAAAATGTTCAGCCTAAATTTCAAGTTCTTTTGACGAAAGTCTGAGCTCCTGGCTCAGTGGAGGCCAGGTGGTCAGCTTCTGCCAGCACCTGCGGAGCCAGGGAGGGCGCGGAGGGAGAGCAAGTCACCCCCGGGGCCTGCGCTCTGCTGCGCTCTGCACCCGCGGCGCTGTCCTGGCCAAGTCTTCCAAGGCTCCCGCTTGGAGAGCTTCCTCAGCCTGAATGGAGTGCTAGTGGACACCTGCTTACTAAGGGACCCCTGGGAAGGTGCCCTGACCGCGCCCCTCTACAGCCGCAGGGACTGGGTCTTTATTCCCTTGGCTGAGGCCGCCGGTGGTGACCTCATCACTGACCAACCCCGGGTGGTCAAACAGCCCAGCTGGATCCGAACTCCCGTGGGGACACCTGTGACCGTGCGGCTGGCGACCCACCCAGGCTGCGGAGAACCGAAGGGTGCCCGCGCGCGTGAGGCACAGGCTGGGCCAGGAGGCAGGCACACGGACGGGCTCCGAGCCTGAGGTGTCGCCTTCCTGTGCCCAGCACGCAACCCGAACACAGCGCGCTGGGGTGTGCCAGCGCCCGCGGAGACGCGCCTTCGGAGATGTGGACGGCAACGTGAGATGGAGCAGAGGAGCCGTGTGCTGACCAGGTCCAAGGGAAGGGGCAAGGGGCGAGCAGGCGAGCCTGTGGCAGGGCTGGCCGGGAACGTGAGAGCAAGGCCCTTCTGCACTCTCTGGCCTCCCCAGTTGGCATGGCAACAGAGACCCAGCACCCCAGGCTGGGTGCAGGCCAGCTGCTGGCACTCCCCCAAGACCCCTCTTCCTTCGGAGCCCCCGGGAGAGGGGCGTGAGCACACACAGCCCATGGGGGCTCCCTAGAGGCTCACGATCCCAGCAGCTCCATGTGGCTGCTCTCCTGGGGGCTGTCTCCTTCCACTCACTGCCCAGTCAGCTGCCCAGAGCTGCCAGCACAAAGCTCCACCGCTGGGGCCTCGGCACAGAGAGGATGCGTCCTCGTCCCATGGATCTGGAGGGCGGAAGGCCAGGTCCAGTGTCAGCAGGGTTGCTTCCTGGCCAGGCCGGTGACTGGAGGATCTGCTCTGGTCTTTCTCTTTGGCTTGCAGATGGCCACACATTATATCATCTTCCTTTATGTCTGTCTCTCAGTATCCAAATTTCTCGTTTTTTATAAAAACGTGAGTCATATTGGACTTTAAAGCCCACCATAGGGACCCCATTTTAACCTATCTATAAAGACCCTATCTTCAAATGGGTCCACATTCAGAGACGTGTTAGATTCCAACTGTATCTTTTTTTTTTGAGAGAGAGACCCAGTTAGACCCATAGCACAAATGATAAGCAATGTTTGGCGGCCTCTCTTTGTATTTCCCTCTGCCATTTTTACCAGGTGCTGTGTTACCAGCTCTCCAATCCATACTCCAAAAACAAGACCACAGGGCTTCAGAGAGACAGAGAAAGGCAAGAGGCTTCCTTTTCACCAACACAATTGTTGACAAGTATAGGTTGAGGTATGGCCAGATAAACACAGATAAATTTCTTTGTACCTTGTTCTGTGAAGAGAGATCACTAAACAGATCTTTCGAGAAAGATCTCCAAGGTTCAAGATGGCCTTAGATGAGCCCCAGACAGAGGGTCTCCACAAGGCAGGTTTCAGGAAGGACATAATCACAGAAAGAGAAAATCATGTTTTTGTATCGTGGAATTGTCGCCTCTCAGCCTTTAAATCTGCACCTTCAGAGGCTTGCAGAGAGAAAGCATCATAGAGTGAGGAGTTTATAAAACCCTGGGCCATGGAGACAGGCAGCCCTAGTTTCAAGTGATGTGCCCACCCTGCCTGGACCCCAGCCCTGCCTCTACTAGCTGTGTGACCATGGACAAGTTACTTAACTTCTCAGACCCTTGCTTTCCTCATCTGTTAAATGGAGATAGACACGAGGTTCACGTTTGCAGTTTAAACTATGAACTTTATAATCTAAAGCATTGTATAATGTACCACATATAGAAGTGTAGTGTGCGGCCTCTGATAGTATTATCATGGTGGATGTAGCAGATGGAGGGTTGAGGTTAGTGATTTTGATCCTTGGCTATACTTGAGTATCACTGGGATGTTATAAAAATCTGAATGTTTAGGCTTGCATCCAGAGTTTACTGAATAAGAATATTTGGAAGATTCTAAAATGCAGCCAAGGTTGAGAGCCACTGATCTAGATTACTTGTTCCAATTTAAATTATACTGTGGGCTAATGAAATATCTACTCGAGCCATTAAATATCCAAAGGCATGCCATACATAGAGGGAAAGCTTCAATGCAATTTCAAGCTCTGTAACTCTATTTAAA